GAATTATGATGCAGTTAAAGGATTTCAAAAAATTACACAATAAATTAAAATCCAGAACAAGTGTAAAACAATATTTAGTCCCCAGTTTGACAATAAAAACAGCAAAGTGAGGGAGTACAATGTTAGTGAAATTCTCAAAAAAAGAACAGTTACTGTCAATTCTTATAAAATTATTAAAGCTAACATTATTTTCCTTGTAGTTGTCGATTGGTGTACATCTATTAGTATTATCGGAACAAAGTTTTGTTTTGTGTGAATTTAAAGTAAAAAAGATGATACGACTAAACTAATTTTTTCAATCGATATTTTAAATTATTGATAGAGCCATTATGCATACAATAAACAAATTTAGATAACGCATGACAGAAAACTCTGCTAAAACACTCATTTAGTCTACATAAAAATTTTTCCTTTTTAAAAAAGAGAACATGCATGTATCTTGTCAGTCCTTTATCGTAACATTTAATATAGCAAATCGAAGATTTTTGACATGTCTATTATGTTCCTTGGAAAATTTTTTTTTAATTTTTTGACTGAACTTTAAAAACATGACTGTTATTGTAATTAAGTCAAGTTAATATAATATGTGGACGATAATATAAGTGCCATGGGTGTCTACTAATACGTGTTGTCTTGGCACCCACATAGTATATTTTTATATATAAAAATATTTGTATTTACAAAATAATGTTTTACTTTTGTTAAACTTTTACTAAAATTTTTATTCGATTATAATTGTAGACCTGTAATCCTGAAGAGGCTGTCAGCAAGATAGCGAAATATTAAACTGTGTAATTAATTATGTAAATAAATTCTCATGATTCATTATACTAAGTTGTGGTTCTCAATATAATTAGTACTGGAATAAAGTTAGGTTAAACAATTCATAAAAAAATACTTAAACCTTTCACACTTGTGATGTATTCTAATAAAATGTAGACAAGAAAACAAAATTCAAGTATATTCGGAAAGTTAACTCAGAATTTTTTTTTTATTTTGTATAACTATAGAACTTTACTGCTATAGGACTTAATACGTATGATGTTCCTTGAGAAAACCTTCATGTCAAAGTCATATGCCCATCTGCATTTTCCTAAAATGCTCGTCACGCTGGTCTGTTAGCTATTGGAATTCCAAAAGGTCACATGACTCTCGCGATATATATAGTCACTTGGGGAAAAATAATACAGGCCTTATGGGTGTAATTCTATTCGTATGTCTTTAACAGGTTCAACGATTGTAATAAGATAAAAGCCTTTCAATAACATGGTTTTGAGGAGATGACAATACTTTAGCTATTTTTGCCCAACTAAATTAGTCTTTTGTAGCTCAAAAATTTCCTTTGAAAGTGCGAAAACGCTCATTTAACCTTACTAAAACATTGCTTGTTTTCCTATGTACAGTTGGAAACGGGAGAACTTCGAACAGGTTAAATGAGCGTTTTCGCACTTTCAAAGGAAAATTTTGAGCTACAAAAGACTAATTGAGTTAGGAAAAAATAGCTAAGGTATTGTCATCTCCTCAAAAATATGTTATTGAAAGGCTTTTATCTTATTACAATCGTTGATCGTGTATAAAAAAAAAAAGTATAAGTGCACCAATAAGGCCTGTATTATTTTTCCCCCAAGAGACTAGATATATAGCGGGAGTCACGTGATCTTTTGGAATCCCAACGAAATGAAACACTTTACTAAACCCCTTTTTTCCCTAAATATTCTGTTCTCTGTTAATAAATAAGCCTTTTTCCAATTTTTTAAGTAATTGTTTTGTATGTGATAAGAATTATGTAACTGCACCTAAAAATCTCTCTGACACACCTAAGCTTTCTTTTCGTAGCAGCATGGAGTTTACTTAACCTTCTATCGGTTAGATATAATATCTTTGCGGGAATACTAAGTAGTAATTTGTACCTGGTATTGTTTGTATAAGGTTCGTTTAAATAAATAAAGTTTTTTTTTTTTGTAACAGAACAATCTTTAAAATGCGTTAAAAAGGCTAATACTATTAATATGATCTTTACTTTTTTACAGTTGTCTACCAAGAAATGACTTTGTACAATGTTATTCTTTATAACTCTAAGGACTACGTATTAGTTAGTTTTTTGTTTCTAGTATTTACCGATTAAATTTTTTTCTAAGTACTAACGTTAACTTGTTGAATATATTTATTTGTTAAGCATATCAGAAGTTGCTTTTTCGCTAATTTAAAGTAGTAGCCATTTATGCTTTGTCTAATTCAATGGACCATAATCTTTAAATAATTGACTTACAGGCCTGTTTTGGCAACTTTTGTGTTGCTTTTTCTATTATCCTCGGTCCAAGATTCATTTGTCTCTTCTCATGTACGGAAAGTCTTAACGTCTGTACAACCCATGGCTCAATCAAAATATATTATTGTAATACACATCTGACGCTTTAGTCTAAGTCTATGCTTCTATCACAGGCTAAATAATCTGTTTGCCTTATTTAAAAACTTATTATGTCTCATTTTTCGGTTACAATTTCCTCTTATTTCATGCATTTCTTTTTTTACTTTTTCATCCTGAGACGTTTTACTAAGAATAAGAAAATATCATTTTTACAACGATTTTATTATTAATATTTACAATCAAGCTACTAGCTAGTGTATCTAAACGTCATCGTGTCGATATAAAGTCAAGCTTGTTCGATTTTTTGAGGCTATCACTTACCCTTTAAGAAACAAATCGTTTTCAAGTCCAAATAAGTTAATTATTATTTGTTAAAATCATTAAAAACATTTTTCTTAAATTATGACGAAANTTTTACTTTTGTTAAACTTTTACTAAAATTTTTATTCGATTATAATTGTAGACCTGTAATCCTGAAGAGGCTGTCAGCAAGATAGCGAAATATTAAACTGTGTAATTAATTATGTAAATAAATTCTCATGATTCATTATACTAAGTTGTGGTTCTCAATATAATTAGTACTGGAATAAAGTTAGGTTAAACAATTCATAAAAAAATACTTAAACCTTTCACACTTGTGATGTATTCTAATAAAATGTAGACAAGAAAACAAAATTCAAGTATATTCGGAAAGTTAACTCAGAATTTTTTTTTTATTTTGTATAACTATAGAACTTTACTGCTATAGGACTTAATACGTATGATGTTCCTTGAGAAAACCTTCATGTCAAAGTCATATGCCCATCTGCATTTTCCTAAAATGCTCGTCACGCTGGTCTGTTAGCTATTGGAATTCCAAAAGGTCACATGACTCTCGCGATATATATAGTCACTTGGGGAAAAATAATACAGGCCTTATGGGTGTAATTCTATTCGTATGTCTTTAACAGGTTCAACGATTGTAATAAGATAAAAGCCTTTCAATAACATGGTTTTGAGGAGATGACAATACTTTAGCTATTTTTGCCCAACTAAATTAGTCTTTTGTAGCTCAAAAATTTCCTTTGAAAGTGCGAAAACGCTCATTTAACCTTACTAAAACATTGCTTGTTTTCCTATGTACAGTTGGAAACGGGAGAACTTCGAACAGGTTAAATGAGCGTTTTCGCACTTTCAAAGGAAAATTTTGAGCTACAAAAGACTAATTGAGTTAGGAAAAAATAGCTAAGGTATTGTCATCTCCTCAAAAATATGTTATTGAAAGGCTTTTATCTTATTACAATCGTTGATCGTGTATAAAAAAAAAAAGTATAAGTGCACCAATAAGGCCTGTATTATTTTTCCCCCAAGAGACTAGATATATAGCGGGAGTCACGTGATCTTTTGGAATCCCAACGAAATGAAACACTTTACTAAACCCCTTTTTTCCCTAAATATTCTGTTCTCTGTTAATAAATAAGCCTTTTTCCAATTTTTTAAGTAATTGTTTTGTATGTGATAAGAATTATGTAACTGCACCTAAAAATCTCTCTGACACACCTAAGCTTTCTTTTCGTAGCAGCATGGAGTTTACTTAACCTTCTATCGGTTAGATATAATATCTTTGCGGGAATACTAAGTAGTAATTTGTACCTGGTATTGTTTGTATAAGGTTCGTTTAAATAAATAAAGTTTTTTTTTTTTGTAACAGAACAATCTTTAAAATGCGTTAAAAAGGCTAATACTATTAATATGATCTTTACTTTTTTACAGTTGTCTACCAAGAAATGACTTTGTACAATGTTATTCTTTATAACTCTAAGGACTACGTATTAGTTAGTTTTTTGTTTCTAGTATTTACCGATTAAATTTTTTTCTAAGTACTAACGTTAACTTGTTGAATATATTTATTTGTTAAGCATATCAGAAGTTGCTTTTTCGCTAATTTAAAGTAGTAGCCATTTATGCTTTGTCTAATTCAATGGACCATAATCTTTAAATAATTGACTTACAGGCCTGTTTTGGCAACTTTTGTGTTGCTTTTTCTATTATCCTCGGTCCAAGATTCATTTGTCTCTTCTCATGTACGGAAAGTCTTAACGTCTGTACAACCCATGGCTCAATCAAAATATATTATTGTAATACACATCTGACGCTTTAGTCTAAGTCTATGCTTCTATCACAGGCTAAATAATCTGTTTGCCTTATTTAAAAACTTATTATGTCTCATTTTTCGGTTACAATTTCCTCTTATTTCATGCATTTCTTTTTTTACTTTTTCATCCTGAGACGTTTTACTAAGAATAAGAAAATATCATTTTTACAACGATTTTATTATTAATATTTACAATCAAGCTACTAGCTAGTGTATCTAAACGTCATCGTGTCGATATAAAGTCAAGCTTGTTCGATTTTTTGAGGCTATCACTTACCCTTTAAGAAACAAATCGTTTTCAAGTCCAAATAAGTTAATTATTATTTGTTAAAATCATTAAAAACATTTTTCTTAAATTATGACGAAAGCTTTAATTATCAATAATTCAGTAACTATTTAAATATAGAATATTGTAAGATATATTGTAATAAAATAGAACAATATATATAGGGTCATTAATTGTTTTAAAACTTATGAAAACTATTAAAGACAGCATACCTATGATGCTGTACAGCAGCTCGCCATTTTTCTCCTTATCCATGTCTGAAGCGATTATTGTATGCAAGGCGTCAGTTTCTTGATTTTCTGGTACAGTAAGTGAAAAACACGAGCTTGACTTAATTTCAGGACTGTTATCGTTTTCATCCAACACAATGATTTCAAGAGTTGTTAAGTCAAGAATTTTGTTGGTGCGTGCGACAATTGTTAAAACGTAGAAATCCTTATCTTCTCGGTTTAATGATTTTTCAAGTTTAACAGTACCATTTTTAGAAATACTAAAAAAGTTGGATACACTGTGATCAAGTATACTGTAAGAAATATTTTCTGAAAGTCACAAATACATAATAATTAATATTTGTATTCATTCAAATAATAAGCTTGTTTGCATGTATGGTTACTTAATTAAGTTACAAAGTTAAAAAAAAGATTTAAGAAATTAAGGCACAAGTTTTTCTATAAAATACAGTTACACATCTTCAAACACATGCGTTTTGGAACCCGTCCAATAGTACTCAGGTCAATCTCTTATCGGATTCTAAATTTAGTTTACACCAAAAATAAATTATTTATAAATAGCTACACTATTAGCTGTGGTTAAAACAAAGGCACTTACGTATAGGAGGCCTACTTAAAAAAAGCTTATGTTTTAAAGTATTGAGAAACATTTCTTATTACAAAAAAACTAGGGAAACACAAGCATTCGAAATATTCTTGTATTCAAAATGGTTTGGAAACTCAAAATAGGTAATTAAAAAAAATGTCGAGACTTTAATTAAAAGCTGTATTAAAGTTAGTTGTAATACACCTAAAAATACCTGAAAATATTAACTCAGTCCATCCTATTGAAATTTGTTATGTTCCATTCACTTGTACTCCAAACTTCTGAAGAGAGTGGTTACAAGAAAATTATTTTAAATAATGTTTTAATGCAGAAAGTATTTTATGGTTAAAGGCTTAAGAAATAAAAAAGACATTGTTTCTAAAAAATATAAAAAATTAAAAAAATTATAATTATCTTAACTTCTATTGACAGAAAACGTTTTAAATTTTGGAAAACTCATGGTCTGCTCCTGCAACTTCTAAAAGTAAGCGTAAGTGCCAGAGATGAGCGCAATTGCAAAAAGAAAATAGAAGTAGTTCAGAAATCAAGAAAAATTTTTATAATTTTCACGTTTCTGTTCTTCTTTACTTGAGATAGTTTGTATAAGAAAGCGTGTACAGTTAAGTTTTTTTTTTATTTAACACTTGTTAGTTCTTTATATTATTAAGTACTTGGTGTTGTTAGTACATGGTCTTAAAATACAGTTTTCTGTAACTATCATCAAAAAAAAGGACTAGCTTTGGACTAATAATTCAAAATGTTTGATACAATCTTCAAAAAATACAAACTCCTTTTTTATAACAATATCAACAAATTTTTACCGTTGCGCTGGCAATCAGCAAATATGGAGCATTATTTAATGACCTGTTTTTCACACTGACTATGTATGAAGGTGAATTTTACAACTGTTACAGAGTTCTTTACAGCTATAGGAAGAAAAGTGTTAAGCAAATTCTGTATATTTTACAAACGAAAAAATGTCTTGAATGCATTTTAAGTTTAACAAAATTAATACACTGTACAGCTAAGTTCATGTGATTTTTTGTATTTAAAAAAAAAGACGATTATTACTTTTCTTTTAATCAAAAAATGTCATCTTCCAAATACGTACTTAAATAACGGCCCTTCAGTTGTATGCCAACATTCTATTCAGGAAGTAGCTGGGCTTACATATATTTCAATAAACCCAAAACAATTTGCTTAAAATTTTTATAAGCAGATTACTATTTTTATGAAACTAAGCTTTAAGTGATTAAAAGCATCTAGTTCTTATTCTTGAGTTATTAACTGTAGTTAATTTGTTCTCAAATTTAATTAGAATGAAAAGTAAGATTTCTTTGTCATTTACCCAGATGACAACAACAGTTTTACAAAAATTTATGTTTGTTTGGAAAGTGAATTGTAAAATGTCAATATCATCTACATAATACCTACTTTTTAACCAAAATGTAAAGTCAAATTAATTTGATGTATCCAATAAGAATTTATAAAGAAATTTCTGAAGTCTTTATACAGAGCAATAAATGATGTTCTTTCCTTGCATTTTAGTGAGCCGTTAGCCATGCAATATTCTGACATCAAAATTTTCCTAGTACTGCAATCCAATATAAACCAATAAAAAAACGGTGAGCTTCATTGCACAAAATGAAGACCCAATAAAAACTTTTTTGTTTCCTATTTGCCACTTATATGGCAAATTTATTTTATTCGAGTTTATAGTAAAAAGCCCATATTTTTTTTTTTAAGCAATAGTTTTTAAGATCGTAGTTTCAGAGCCAAATAAATAGTTTATTGGAGTTTACAGGGATAACATTGAATCTTATTGTATGAGGTAATCCTATAATACATTTTGAGTGTGTTTATAGTTCTTCGTTGATAAAATTTTTATACGTTTTTATGAGTAAAAACCCGTTACATTTTTATTGAAAAGAATTTTGTTGAACGATTGGAAGATTGGGCAGATAATTCTTGTAATTTTTTCATTGTATTGTATAGTCAAATCGCAATCCGTAACCATGCTTGTGATATTATCAAACGTTTGGAAGTTTACATGACTGAATGGGAATTTACGGGTGCAAAAACCGATATTAAGCCAACAGCTTGAATAATGTATTGGAATTTATTTGTCTCTCCTGATTCATCAGTGTACATAAATTTTTTTTTTTTTGATTTTTTTTTTTTATGCGACGACTCCCATTGGTAATATCATCGTATTTTTTACGTGAGTTTATAGTTATTTGTTAACGATATTTCAATTACTCTTCTTATTAATAACCAATTCAATTTTTACTGAAAAGTATTATCTCAAACTGTTGGCTTCTGTATTTTCTATCAGATGTGTCAAATGTTTTGGGTAATTTTTTCGTCTTTTTTTTTTTTTTTTTATTGCAATTAAAAAAAAAAAGTGCATTTTTCAACTACGCTCATAAAGTTAACATATGTTTAGAATCCTACATATCCGAATTAGGTATATGGGTAGTTAGTTTTTTGTTTCTAGTATTTACCGATTAAATTTTTTTCTAAGTACTAACGTTAACTTGTTGAATATATTTATTTGTTAAGCATATCAGAAGTTGCTTTTTCGCTAATTTAAAGTAGTAGCCATTTATGCTTTGTCTAATTCAATGGACCANAAAAAAAAGTGCATTTTTCAACTACGCTCATAAAGTTAACATATGTTTAGAATCCTACATATCCGAATTAGGTATATGGGTGCAAATGCCGATGGCCGTAATCTATTGGAATTTATTTGTCTCTCCTGGTTTATCAGTGTACATAAATTTGTTTTTTTTCAAATTGTGTTTATTTTTAGGCATCGATCCCTTCATCCAAAACTTTGTTTTTTCTTAGGATACTAGTTAATTTCAACTACGCATGTATGCTGTAACAAGCATTAATTCTCCTACACGTTACATTTTTAATGATTATCGTTTTTGAATTTGCTGAGTAATAAATATCTACATAAACTAATGTGTAATATTCGTTATTCATTTTTGCAGCTTACATCATATATAGAAAGCTTACATCTAACGAAAAAAAATTTAAAAAACGTGTTGGGACTCATCTGTAAAACCATCATGTAACTTATGCTTCCAACACGATCAATGAATTCTATATAAACTTATCGTATACAGCCCATACATTATTTTTAGTAAATAGTTAACGTGTTATTTACAAAGTGAAATGCAGTATGAGTTCCATTTTATGGGAATTAGTCAACTCTTTTTTCTATTTAACTATTAAGAAATATTTTGACTCATAATTATATTGTCTTCATCAGTTATTTATGTTTTAATTTGAGAATCACCATTTTATAGTATGTACAATTAATTAATCTCATTAGGTGATTGTGGCATACTATATGTGACTAATCTTATTAATGTTATACGCACTTTTTATAATCTGTACATTGGATTATTTGACTGTTATTTATTGTACAGTTAGCGCTTATAGCAAATGAAATGTTATTGATACTTATCCGGTTCTGGCAATAAAACTTATTGCAGTACTTCTAAAATAAATTATTTTTTATGATCGATTTTACGTTTAGTTTAATGTACCGTCTTCTTCAGTGGATGGTTTTTTTTTCTAACATCGAATCTTACACAGTTTTCAATACAATAGTATACTACTCAACACAAACTAATAGAAAAAATCATATAAATAGTTGTTAAGTAAAATAAGTTCCAACAGATTTTAAACAATCTCGCGCAGAAATCGCGTTTTTCTCATAAATTCCAACAAACTTCATTGGCCAAAAGGAGAGCTACAGGTATATCTACAAATGATGACAAGAATCCATAAGAAACTTCATGTAGTAGTACAAAAGCTGTTAAAAATCATAATAGAAAACAAATACACTAATTTAGTAGTACCAAATAACTACAATTCAAATTGGGCAGGGATTCTCAATAAGAACCAATAATATCAATGCTTTAAATCGCTGTTACGTATAATAAAAACCAATATTTCCACAAAAGTATCGTGCCATGTTCGGATTTTCCTTGTTAATTCCAATACAAAGATAAATTTTAACGCAGGGCTTTTAGATTTTAGATGCACCTGCAAAGTCTAATAAAAATCCATTATGCGGTAATTTCCACAACCATTCATTTACTGGACAAAGCTTATAGGATATACTGTATTGTACAGGCTTATTTAACTCTCGATAAATGCTGATATATTTTCCATAAACTCCAAGGAAAGTCGCTTGTTGTGTATACAGCTACATTTCTTGTATATTAAATATTTGCATATCATCATAAAATTACATTGATTAATTGTAAGGTATTTCCCGTAAACACCAATAAAAAATTGATTCACTTCTCGATAGTTTGTTAAAATGATAGTACTGTCCTATAAAAATTGCTAAATTAAATTAGCGTGAAAGCCAATAAAAACATGATTCAAATGACGTTACCAAATCCTACTATGACCAATAAAGGCGAATATAATTCTTACTGGGCTTTTCCAGTAGACTCTTATAAAAGTAATCACTCAGTGCCCTGTCTTTTTTTTCCAGTCGAATAAAATCCAATGCAATCTATTAGTATTTAATAAATGCTGATATGTTTCCCA